TGATTGTGCTTGTTAAATGCATCTTGCAACATCCCTTCTATGTCATATTCTCTAACAGTTCGATGGTGAAAGTAGCAGGAAAATTCGAATAACTCGTTGAAGAAGATCTATCAGATATAAATTCTCCATGAAATATCTATTTTCTATACCCCGAACAAATCAAAAACAACTAGATGCTCATACACAACTTCACGAATGTGCCAATTAATGTTAGCACACTTCTTACAAAGGAAAATACTCATATTCTCTTGGCTTACATTCACAAAAGCTAGATTTAGAAAATTTTCGACCCAATTTCGATATTCTTCGCTTACCTTTGAGAAATCCATCCAACTCTTATCCATTTCGTATCTTTGGAATTTCAATTCCAAATGTTAATTGCTAATATTATAGAGAAAGCTAGATTGGAGATGTTTTAAGAAACTAAATGAAGGAAAATTAATAGGGATAAGTAAAAAAGAGTTTAATAGCTCCTGTATATTTAAAGTCAAAATTGAATGCACCCAAAATTCAAGGCATGTAAAATCATAGAGATTTAAGGCAGTCAATATCTTCCAGGCAACAGAATGAACGATGCATTGCATACTGAAAAAAAACAGAATAGAAAGCAATAAACTAACCTGCGTGCAAATCCAGTCAACTAATTCCTTTAGTACCCCAACCATTATTTTTATCTTGAATATTTCTTTTTCAAAATCATATACCTAATGTTACGCTTTAGTACATCTAAATATACCTTAAAACAGAAACACCTCATAGCGATACAGAGAAAACCCAAAAAGAACAATATAAGCTGAAAAAATTTCAACAAACAACGGTGTCACTATATGAATAACTTTTAACCAGAAATCATAATTGAACAAAGGGGAAATGAATAATAAACTTACCACATGAAAGGTAAAAAGGGTAAATATGAACCTGTAAGGGTCCTCCTCCCCTAACACACACTCAATATGGATTTGGATGAGAAATTGGAAGCATCCTAAAACAGAGTTCTTTTCCTTCATATATTTTGGTTTTTTCCCACTCATAGCAAAAAAGATCAATCTCCCTATAAAGAACAAAACCTCAATCCTACAAACAAAGTTCCATTGCATCCTAATTGCTTCCAAAAATAAGAACAAAAAACAATGGGAACCTTCAATAGTCCAACATGCAATTACAGTTTGGTTTAGGGAGAAGACAACAGTAAAATAATGGAATTACAATTGGAAATCAATTAAGACATAAAAAACCCTCCAGTTTGTCTATAAATTCAAAGAAAATAAAAATAAAGTGGCCATAAATGTTTCCACGGATTATAAAGACTAGGCTTTCTTGCAAATAAAGATTTAATCATAGACATAATTGTCGTATGATAAAAATTATCCAACATATAACCTAACAAATTTAGCATTCTTCATAAAAACCAACCCCATGCAAACAGAACAAAATCCAATTCTTGCAGCAATACAAACAAACAATAATATATAAAATAAATTGTACACTGATAACCAACAAACTGATTCATGAATACAATTTAGTTTACTCTAATTTAAAAACACTGAAGTTTATATTTAAAATTATCAAGCAAGTGACGCACTACGGCTAGAAAAACAAGCAATTGAGAGTTCGACAAGGACCAGAACTTGATACGACAATCAAATAGATTTCAGGATGGTTGCAATGGCATTGGCAGTCGGCCAATTCATTAGCACCAGCAATCAAATCTAAACTAAACTTGATACAATATTTCTCGAAAGTCATCCCAATGAAACACCAACAAACTCTGTGACACGCTACGACTAGAAAAACCAAGCACTGCTTTCTCTTTGGCATTTAAACAAATATCTTTCGTTCCCATACTCAAACTACTTTGATAACAAAAAGAACGGTGGAACAAAAGGGTAAGAGCCTACCCCAATATTTCCCTAAAAACAGCAAAAACAACTCCAATAAACTATAAAATAACCCAACCTAAGTCACCTAGAATATACCCAACCGAATTTTCAGAATACCAACATTTAGAAAAATGAAAAAGTTCAGAAGTGAGAGAAGTGATCAAACCGTGCAATCATGTTATAGTTCGTCGGTAAGAGGCCTGATTTGGTCGCCGGCAGAGACAGAAGACGACGTCGCTTGGAATCGTGAGTGGTCCGCTGTTGTACCAGAGAAGAAGCTTTTAAGAAAAGTTAAAATGATTTTAGGGATCGAGCAGGGGAAAAGGGTGGAGCATATATTTATCCCTTAGCGGCGTTTGTAAAAAAACCACAATTGCACATGTTTTTGCGGCGTTTTTATTACAAACGCTAGTAATGTACAATTATATCGCAGCGTTTTTCTCAAAAACACCGTTATAGTACTAGCTTTTAGTGGCGTTTTTATAAAAATGCCACTATATGTTTAGAGTTAGCGGCGTTTACTGTAAAAACGCCGCTATAAACCTATTGTATTATAGTGTCTGTTGCGGCATTTTTTTGAAAAATGCCACTATATATGAACCATATTGTGGCGTTTGTATAAAAATGTCGCTAAAGTACTACTCTATTGCGGTGTTTATTGGAAAAAACCGCAAAAGGTGAACTCTATTGCGGTGTTTTTATAAAATGCCGCTAAAGTACTATTTATCGCCGCATCTGTTGGAAAAACGCCACTAAGAATGAACCCTATTACGGCATTTGTACAAAATATAGCTAAAGTACTACTCTATCGCGACGTTTATTGAAAAAAAACCACTATAAATGTACCTTATTATGGCGTTTTTATAAAAATGCCGCTAAAGTAATACTCTATCGCGACGTTTATTTAAGAAACGCCGCTAAAGTATTATTTTTGTGGCATTTTGATTGTAAACGCCGCTATATGTTTATAGTTTGTGGCGTTACTCTCCAAATGTCGCTAAAGAACAATTTTGTTGTAGTGAATTAGTTTATGAACTTAAACATAAATAGTATTAATGAGTATTAAATGTTTGAATTTATTTATATAAAATTGTTTCAGTTTAATGATAAGATTTTATTGTTCTAATAATTTTATTTGATTCTATAAGATTTATCTCTAATATGATCATCGTTAAGCAAATAAATATAAATTTATATATTATTGATAAAAGAAAAGATCATGTATTCTTTTCGTTTTTAAAGATCGTTTGATTCAAAGAATGTAATATTATATTTGGTAAAAGATTATTGTGATATAACATTACTCTGGGAATTTGCATTATCTTATTTGATTTATTTATTAGAAATGTAAGATTATAGTATTTGATTGGAGAATTGTTCAATATCTAAGAATTTGAAGGTAATATTTCTATTATTATAACTCAAAAAATGTTATTAAAGGGATATGTGAACTAAATATAAAAATATAATTTTGAAAAAATTATTCTACTCTAGTGATTTTTATGCGCGAATTTCAAGCAAAGACTTCACGTGTCCAATGCTAATATTGTTTGCCAAAAACAAAACACAAAAACGGATGGATCTGTTGTGTCAAAATGTTAAGATACTATCCTTTGTGATTAAACAAAACACAAATTGGTTTATAGACTAAGTGTCTCAACGACACATTGAACAACGAACACGAGTGAACATGAGTGCAACAAACACGTAATGTCACTCTTATTGTGCACCATGGTTGATCGTTACACCAAATTCCGAAAACCAGGCTTGCTTTTGTTTCCATAGTAAGTTATAGGGTTCTGTACGACAAGGGTGCGACCCTAGTGGTCGGGTTCCGAAACAGAAAAACGCTTCTAGCTTTAACGGGGGTGCAGGACAAGTGGCCCTACAAGAGGTTAGTCCTAGGGCATAGGAGCAGGTGAGCTGATAAAGGTACTATGAACATAGACGTTCAGACAAATGTGTCCTTTCTACGTAGCGGCTTAACAGTTACTCTTGGAATTCCAAACACACCTGTCCCATTGCAATTGGGACTTTCCTTGTCGTCATTTGTTATTGGTTCAACCTTTTAGTTTTTCCATGACATTTAAGGCAAAAGTATGTAACAGATTTTTGTTCAAATTCGTGAATTTATGTCCTTTTCCTCTCTAGTGGATTTCGAGTACCTATAGGCTAAGGATATTTCCTTTTTTTAAAAAAAAGGATAAATTTGAACGAAAATAATTTGCAATTAAAATTCATTTATTTATTTGTATTTTTCTTTAATTTGAATGACACTGCTCACTTGTATACAAAATAACCTTGTTTTTTTATACAAGGTGTGGCATGCACAGTGCCCCAACAGTCCGCGCAAAGCAAAGGCAATACTTAAAACCATAAACATCACCCTCTGCTACATTTTCTTCCCAGACTTTAGCAACAGGAAACCCAGTAAACCATGGTGGATACTTGTGTACAACACATTAATTTCCATTGCTTATGCTTTGAAGTTTGTAGGACACTTTTGTTTTGCCTCTAAATTGAGACCCAAATATGGAAGAATGGAATCATTATAAATTATTGCATTTCTCCATTTCACACCGTCCACTGCTCAGCTAATTCACGATGTCACTTTTTCTTTTACCTTCAAAATTTTACCCTTCTCTCTATAATAATTGAAGTCATTGACAGCGTAGGCAAAAAGGGACGGGTTGCTCCAATTTATGAATATTAAGAAATGGAAAGATATTAACCCTTCTCCTTTGATGGTAATATAATTTGTCAGAATCTTTAAGTGATTTTAATGGTTAAAAAATATTACTTTTATTAAAAATATTATAAACATATATTATCTTATAATAACTCAAACTAATAAAAAAAACTATCTAACAACATCGAAGGTTATTTTTTTTAATAGAGATGTTAAAAGAAGAACCCGAATCCCAACTAATAAAACTACCGAGGTCCCTGATTCCCTGAACCCATGGTCAGTATTTGTGAACCCCATTTACATCCCAACACTTGTCAAATTTTGATGCCACACATATGCAGTACCATACCTATCTTGATTCTGTAATTGCAATCGCGGAATATATATACATAGCAATGCATGCAATGCAAATGCAACCATATCTGTATACTCTTTAACCCTCAAATCTTTCCTGCCTATCCTTCTCTTTGTTATTGTTTTTTTTTCCTATATTTAGAATTCGTTTCTTTTGATAATTGGTGGTTGGGGTTTGTTTGATTTGCTATATACTCTATTTCTTCTTCTTCTCTGGGATTGGAATGAGAGAGTTAGAGGACACAATGCCGGAACAGGCTGATGGCATTCGGAAATCCAAGTTTGGGAAAACTACACTTTCGGATCCTAACATGTCCATGACATCTCCTGTGGATGAAGATGATTTATGCCTTCGTCACAGCAGCGCATCGGCTAACGGTTCCGGCCCTTCCGAACCGAACAGGTCGAGCGGAGAAGAGTCGCCGATGATGATGTCGCCGTGGAACCAAACCTTTAATTTCGACAAGTCTCCCTCCACCCCTGACGACGACAAAATTGTTCCACCCCATAGTCTCATCGGGTCTCTTACTCGTGAAGAGGGCCATATTTATTCCTTAGCAGCCTGGAATGATCTACTTTACACCGGCTCCGATAGCAAGAACATCCGTGTGTGGAAGAATCTGAAAGAATATACGGGTTTCAAATCAAACAGTGGATTGGTTAAGGCCATTGTGATTTCAGGGCAAAAGATTTATACGGGTCATCAAGATGGAAGGATCCGGGTTTGGAAAGCCTCTCTTAATAACCCGGGTGTTCATAAACGAGCTGGAACGTTGCCAACCCTGAAAGAGATACTCAAAAGTTCCATTAAACCAAGCAATTACATTGACGTGAAGCGCAAGCGCTATTTATGGATCAAACACTCGGATGCATTATCCTGTTTGAGCTTGAATGAAGAACAAGGTCTTCTTTACTCGGCTTCATGGGATAAAACGTTTAAAGTATGGAGAACTTCCGATTATAAATGCCTTGAATCGGTTCAGGCACACGACGACGCTGTTAACTCCGTGGTTTCGAGCACCGGAGATACGGTTTTCACGGGTTCGGCCGATGGAACCGTAAAAGTGTGGAAAAGGGAACGGGTGAAAAAAGGAACGAAACATACGTTGAGTCAAACTCTTTTACAACAAGTAACTGCAGTCACAGCTTTGGCAATCAACAACCCTGCTTCAGTATTGTACTGTGGCTCAAGTGACGGCCTGGTTAATTTCTGGGGACTGGAAAAGAATCTAGCCCACGGCGGGGCACTTAAAGGGCACAAGCTGGCGGTTCTCTGCCTTGAGGCGACTGGGAATTTGGTGTTTAGCGGATCAGCTGATAAAACCATATGTGTTTGGCGTAGGGATAGCCACATCCACACATGCCTCTCGGTGCTAACGGGGCATACGGGGCCAGTAAAGTGCTTGGCCGCGGAAAAGGACCAAAAAGTGAAGAATGAGCAGCGGTGGAAACTGTACAGTGGGAGCCTCGATAAGTCGGTCAAAGTGTGGAGCGTGTCGGAGTATGCTCAGATAGGGTCGACGCAGCAAAACCAGCATCAGGCTGTGGGGTGTGAAAGCGAGTCTTCACCTTCTGGTGGGAGCTGCTCATCGGGCAGCAATTACGGGAGGTACTGAAAACCGATCCCAAATGAATTTCGGGTCTCTTGAATTGCCACGTGTTCATGGTTTGTAATGGAATTATCTTTAGGTAATGACACGTGGACTGGGGGAGGAAACCAGTTTGCTATAGTATGTTGTTGGAATGAAATCCGTTTGAGGGTTTTCCCTGGGTTATATAGTAGTAAATAAAGATGATTGTTGTGTACTTTGTTTGATGAAACCTGGAGACAGATTTCTTAAATAAAATTCCCTTTCTTTTCTTACAAGGTATTTGCTTTGCTTTGATCTTCAACTAATAAGAAACTAGTCAACCTTTCGCTCACACAAATCATGGAAATTCAATGACTTGTGTATGTCGAAATAAGTCCCGGGAAAGAAAAAAACTAGTGTGAATTGGTCCAAGAACAAATTACAGGAAAAGAAATAAAAGTCATTATTATTATCATAGTATTATTCCAGTACAAAATACTTGTATATTCTTCGCTATATCTTGCAAATTTGAGCAAATGAATGAACTCATTACAAACATGCAATTCCCAGGGGTAGAGTATCTTCCAGTAAAAGAAAATACTAGAAAGGTAAAAAAATATATATATATCATGTGATGGATAATGCTCAACTATACAAGCATCAGCTTCCTCTTGCCTGTTGAATCATCAATCCAGTCAGTGCGAAAGTTTTCGAGAGTGGAGTCTCCTAGATTCCGGTTGTGTTTGAGTTTTCAATCCACGCAAATGACCACTTCGATTGCCGATTGAGTTCAGGTCTAAACTCAGAGGAATGCTGGTATCTCCTCCTTCAAGCATTCCAAGGATCTAACAATTTGCAGAGAACATATGAAAATCCTCAATTTCAGTAGCCATCTCATGAAATGGGGTAAGAAGCTCCTACACAAAATATTATGGAAAAGGAAGAAGTATGAAAAGAATTTAAAACTTGATGGACAAGATAGAATACCTTTGACATTGGGGGTCTCGATTCTGGATCGTGATTTAGGCACAAGAAAGCGGCACGTCCCATGGCCTGGAACTGATGAGTGTAGTCCTGGACTTTGCTGGGGGCTAAACATGGATCAATCAACTGATAAATATTTGTTATTATTTGGTTCGGATTCAATGCAGCTAGAGGGTGGAACCAGTCTGATAAGAAATTCTGGCCCTTGTAATATTTCAGGTCATTGATTCTTTGACCTGTCATTAACTCTAATAGCACCACTCCAAATGCATATACATCAACTTTCTGTGTAATCCTTCCACCATCCAAATACTCTGGGGCAAGGTACCTGGATTTAGTCATTTCATTTTTGAGAACCTTTTAGAATGATAGAAATGTTCACAGGTTTAATAAATGTTCATTGTTTTATGTAAATTTCAGGCTACAAAAGATGTCAGGTCTTAACGATTGTATACCAAAAATTTCTAACAAAGCATATTGGTGCAGTGTTTGTGTTGTGAAACTAGGATTACTTTTAATCCAAGGAAAAGAAAGAGAGGAATTTAGAAAGTACCCTGAAGTTCCAATAGTTCGATCTTCGTTTCCAATCCATTGACCAGAATGCCATCTAGCGAGGCCAAAATCAGTAACCTGAAGACAAACTAAAAAGTAAGGCATGATGAATATATCAAATGAGGAATCTACTAAATGATGAAACAATGCTCTGCAAGCCATATGAATATATCAAATGAACTTTTGAGGTTCTTCAAGCATTTTGCATTTTAACCCAAAAAAGTAGTAATGACCAGTTATATGGAGGATGAAACTTTTCAAACCAAAAACCTCTCTACAAGAATTTCAAATTCTACCACGACTTGCTTATATAGTCAAATGATTAAAACAGATCATCAGTGTGCTGCATTTTCCTTCACGATGAATTCATGTCTTGGTTCAATATTAACAAGCATAAACACCAACGCTTTCAGAAATGTCCAATAACCGACTGCAAGTACCTGGGGCTCAAAATCGTGAGTTAGGAGAATATTTTCGGGCCGCATATCTCTATGTACTATACAACCAACTCTACAATCTTCATGAAGGTATCGCAAGCCTCGTGCTGCTCCAATTGCTATTCTTAGTCGTGATTGCCAATCTAGAGAGCCTCTACCGCTCCTGTCAACCAGATGTAACTAATATCATTTTGGATGACAGAGGTTCTAATTGGAAATAGAAAATGGTGTAGATGGAAACTGTATGATTGTATACAAAATATGATACTGAGAGAAATAGACATGAGAAAATGAATACCATGTAAATGGAAATCTAAGGATCCATTGCAGATGTACTCATAAACCAAGACTCTCTTGTTACTATCAATACAAAACCCAATTAGCAACACAACATTCCTATGTTGCGCGCAGCTCAAAACCTGTACCTCCCTGCAGAAATCAATATCCGCTTGACAACCGATGAACTTTAACAGCTTCACTGCTACAAACTGACCATCTCTCAAAATCCCTCTATAAACAACACCAAAAACACCTTCTGCCAAAAAATTCACTTCTGCAAATCCATCAGTTGCTCCTCTAGCTCCTCGAAAGAAAACCGTCTTGGCGGTTTGCCAAAGACTGGTGCCTTGTGTTGACAAAATGAGCATAAGGGTGGAGGAACTGAGGATGTTCTACCTAAGGCAACTGCATCTCTAATGTTTGAGCTAACCATGTAGTCTTTGTCATGGCTTTGATTGACAAGTCTACCTTCCTTTCCATCTCGATCATATTGGACAAACTTGTCAAGCAAGCTTTTGGAACTAGAAGGGATGACTCTATTGCTTAGGGTTTTACCTGGCTTTTCATCATTGTGATTTTGGGGAATCCAAAATATACTCTTGTCATTACTTTTCACAGAAGATGTTGAATTTACTGATAGATTTATTAGCTTTTCTCCATGTGAATCAATGAGAGCAAGTTGGTTATCCAAGTTATTCATTTTATCTACGAAAGAGTAATTTCCTCGGTTCATCCCTTCAAAAAGAGGATTTTCCTGATAGACCAGGAAAAGAGATGTTGCTGAATCAGAATTTGGCAGCAACCCCTCTTGGCTTGTTCTTGAATAAGAAGTACTCGGTTCTTCTGGGCTGCTGACAGGAGTAGAATGCTTCATCCTATGTCCTAGGTGGCCTCCAGAATCCATAACCGGAGAGGAAGCAGCAGAGAAAAAAGGAGTTCGAAGCTCATCTATGCATTGCAAGTTAAGCCTGAGAACTTTTGGTTGGGAACCTTTCATCACTACAATGTTGCAGTGAAGTTCATCCATGCATTGTTTCAGCTCTTGCTTCAGTTTTCTGATTCAAAAACAACTCTTCATGAGTTAACACGAAAATCGACATCTAGATTAAGTAACTGAGTTTCTGCCATGCCAAATTGTTATTGTGAGATGTTACAGACCAAGCATGCCATTATCATTTTTGACTGGAAAACAATTGGATTATTCAATCAGACCATTTCCATTTTGTTATCCTTTGAATTGATTGGTAAAGGTAGAATAGAATTGCATTCTACACATGAATAACACAACACAAAATACTGAACTCAAATAATATGATTCAGAAACAACGTTAGGACTTGGCAATAATTAGATTGATCGTTTACCAGACAGAATTAAGGAGTATAACATATGTTTGTAGTTTAATGATTATTACTTCAAAAAGTATTATTATTATGGGCATAATGACAAAAATGTTAGCATATGAGCATATTCCAAAGGCAGTAGGTAACAATCTTTGACCACTAAAAGTCTAAAACTAACATATAAGACAAAGTTGAAGGAATATTGAACTAGTATAAAGCGAGCAAGTAAAGGAGATAAGCCACAATTATGACCAACCAATTAAACTAATAGCTTAGAAACAAGAAATAATACTTTTTTTTGTATGGTTAATTACTTGTCCAGTATGACCCAGTTGGCACCATTGTTCTTTGCTTCAGCAGCCACTGAACTGCAAGTTGTACCTGACACCACCTTGATCCTCACAGTAACCTGCAATTTAAGAACTCATTATCAACCTTATGTAGAAGGCAAATTCCTCCCCCAAACAATAGTTTGCTTAGCATTTGGCTCCCAAGTAAATGAAGGTTTCATGTGATTACTGCAATTTTAGCTATCATGCCTGAAATTAGAAGTTTTGATTAAAACTTGCATAGAATCTCAAGGGACCCACTTCATGAACCATATAAAAAAATGGGGTTCCATGAAAAATAACTTTAATAATGTTGATTGGCAATAATGCTACTTAAACTATACTTCATCATGCACATGGCAATGACATTCAACCATCCCGAAGTCCAATGTCTAAACAAGCCCTCTAATCATTAACTTTTTTTGTTTCCATCTGACTGTAGAGCTTAAGCCCTGTTTGGGTTCCTGGAAACTTCTAAATACGGACACCCCAATCTGTCAGTAAATCCATTTCATGTTTAATGCTGTTTCTAGGAAAGACAAAAGCATGTTACTTTGCTTTTTGTAAAGTTCATAGAAGAAATAAACCAAAGACTCCATATGCAGCTACATGAAAGAAGCTAATTCAACTGGCAAATTAAGCAAGTTTAGACAATTAATTACCTCGATTTGGTTATGAAACTGAAGTACCATTTGAGAACATGACTCTGAGATCTGACAAATTCTTTCCGGTAATTCCTCCATAATATTGCTCCCGCAATCTCCAGTAAGCATCGAGAAATTCCAAAATCTTTTGCCTTGAACAAATTAAAAGGGAAAACAAAAAAAAAAAGTTTTGCAAAACAGTGAAAACAAACAAAAAATTTTGTATCTGGATTAGATGAAAAAAATTACCTTTTCTTTCACCAGGGAAGATGGCGAGCAAGGTAACGCAATCACCAGGACGAACAACATGAGTGAGCGCCCAAGCCAAGGCGGTTTTCGAGATGACCCTCTCTGCTTTAACGGCAACCACTACTTTTTCTAGGCTGCTAGTGGTGGAGCGCTGTCCAAGGCTTAGCTCCATATTCCCAGGGAAAAAATTTGAGTAGAGCCAAATTCAAGCTCTTTTTTGGGGGGGGGGGCAGAAACAGAGAAAAGGGATGTTTCAGAGCGTATATGTGATCGACTTCTTCAATGGGTTGGCTGTCATAAAGGCAAAACAAGACAAGGCAAGGACATGGTTTCGTTGACTGTTAATGAGCTAGCAACAGCATGTTCATGTCGGGTCCCATTCTATTCAAAAAGATGGAATTTTGAATTTTTTTAACACTCTGATCACGTCGTTACCAGCCCCTAAAAACTAAACAACATACATAACTTCTGATCTAAG